ACATGACTGGTTTTTATTACTGTCATACTGTGTAGGGAAAAAGAGCTTTTTGTGGAAAAGAAAAAAAAAAATAGCCTCCACAGAGGATGTGAAAATTGTCAATTACACAACCAGTATGCATTAATTGGTTCTCACTTAGGGAAGGTACACAAGCTTCCCCTGTGAAGATAACAGACAGCCAGTTTTTTCTTCAGCCTTTTAAAACTGAGAGAAGGTTAGGAGTAGCCTGTCACTTCTTGCCTTTGAGCACTGAATTATTAATTTACACAAAATACTAGATTACAAATGCCATTAAAACAAACTAAAGCAGCACCTAAACTAACCTAAAGATAGTTTAAAGGGGAAGTTCATGCTTCAGTAGTCTGCCAAAACCAATACATTCTCTTTAAACAGAATTTAATTTTTTTTCTCATAGGTTTTTTTTGCCACTTCCTGATTATCAAAGGTGTCTGTCGAGGTCTGTGTTTGGCAGATGGTTCATCCTACCCTTTGTGCCAGCAACTGAGCAAAATTTATTTGGAGATGTCACAGAATACTTGCAAGGCAGCAGGTGAATGACTTCCACAAAAGTCTAACTCCACTGTGAGAACAGGTAGCCAGAAAGCCAGGGAGCAAAGAGTGAAGGAAAAAAAGTCTTATCTACAGAAAGAACTCTTACCCACACATTCTCTGAAGACAGGAAAATTAATAGGGAATATTACTAATAATGAAAATTTTCTCATTGAAGTATTCTGTCTCTTCAAATGTGGGTCCCTTTGAAATTCTCACATGTTTTTACATGTAGTTTTAACAATATCCACTTTGATTTTCTACACTAGAAAGCATATGAGTTATTTTTCTTCAGTCTACTGCAATATATTAAACACAGAACTAATGCCAGAAAGTGTAACATCAGGATTTCAAGACTTTATCAACCACTTATACTGCACTCACATCTCCAGTATTTGTAAGAGAAACAGATGTAATTTGGAGCATACTTTTTAGAAAGAATTCATATTTTAGCCTGACATGAATACATGTAAAAGTTGGCTGTTCCTCTGAGAGGTACCTGCAGTCAAGCAGGCAATAGGACTCCCATGGAAGGACATACCTACTTATTTTCCTTAAACAAAGACACAAGTCTAAGTGAAGACAATTTTTATACCAACATAGTGTTAGTTCATTTCAGGCTGGGATGTCAAATATTCATTAAAAAAAAAAATAGGATTTGGAAGAGATAAAAAATACCTGCAAAATTGGACCACATTAGCAAAAGATTTGTTTCATCCAAGTGAGAGAGGAGTGCAGCATTCAAAAACAGAAAGAGAACAAAGAGATGAGGGTACTGTTGCTTCTATCCCTGTCTGCTCTACTCTGGTTAATGAAAATTACCAAATGTAGGCATTGTAACTGTCTGCCTAAACCTGATGATGAGTCAAACACAGGCACAGTGCTTCAGTTTGATCCTTCCTTTTCCTTGGGGAGCCTGTAAATCAGTAACAGAAAGCATTCAGAGGCAGACTGAAAATACGAATGTTATGCTAAGAGGAAGGACAGACAGATAAAAAAGAAGTCCTTTGCATCCAGCAGGAGTATCTTTCCCATTACTCTATGACAGTAAACCAGAAAAACTGTACCACCTCTAAATTTTGGTTAAAATCCAACTCTATCTTCTCTATTTGTTGTTGCTGTTAAAATTATCTAAAGTGAAAACAAGTTGTTTGTTTTCATGCACGCCATCCCCAGGTTTTCAGTCTGAGCTTTTTTTATTTTTAATTACAGAAACTAATCCAAAAAGTTAGTTCTTCACATATTCCTGGCAGTGACTGGTTTAATTTTTCCGTCTTCATTAAAAAGTCTCTACCACCATATTTAAATTTACCCAACAATTTTAAGTGAGCACGAGTCACTGAATGATGACATCTTTTCCGTCTAAATTCAACTGTTTTTAAGCACTAAGAGTATGGTTTTTTAAATCATACCGTGTTTCAGTATTTTTCAGTAAAAAAATTAGTGTTCCAGTACTGCATGCAATGACACACTGTATGAAATTACAGTTCTCTGTTCTTTAAAGACCAGTCCTAAAATTTGTAGCATTTGGCAGTTATATAGCATTTTATATATTTATTTAACATATTTACTAGAGAAAAAATATTTATATTATAGATATTATTTTTTATATTTTTATATTATACATATACTTAGTTATCAAACTGCCATTACAATTCAAGTACTTTTTGAGCTGAAGTAACCTCAGCATTTCTGCAAATCATACCTGAAGATAAAATGAAACATATTTAGCTTTATTTGACTGAAAAAAAATGCAGTCTGTATTTCTGATCATAAAGGCAAGAGATATAAATTGAACATAAAAAAATGCTATCAGATGCAAAGAAATCACCTGAAATTTGATGGCCAGCGAGCTCTGGAAGCTTCATGACCAGGTCTTTTTATCTGTTTAAAGCAGACAGTTACAGACAGTGCTAGGACACTCTACAGTCTGTAGACTTCAAGAATAAAGACTGGCATTATGCCAGCTGACTGCTCATCTGTCAGAGCAAGAAGTTAGGCAAAATGCAGTTCTTTAATCCACATGAAAATTGTTCCTGCAGCCACTGCTTTGAGAACTTCCAGAGTACCTATGTTTTGAATCTAGATTTTGAAGTATACCCAAAGAAGGCAGCTATCTTTACTTCAGGTATGTACCTTTATTTGCTCAAGGCTAAGGCTTTGAAAATAACAAAAAAAGCAAAAACCATGGTTTGAACATGGTGAAAAGATATTTGAACTGGGCAGTCTATCAGGAATTTCACCTGCACAGTGCATATTTAAGCAAGTGCTCATTTTCACTGTTACAAGGCTTTCAATATCAAAATGTAAAAGGAAGAAGTGCACAAAGATTCATGAAAATCTTTCTCTCCCTTTTGTGGTTTCAGCCTTTTAGTGCTCCCACTGCTGGAGGCAGACAAAAAGGCGAATTTTATCTATTACACTGAGATGTCTTTGAGAACGAATAAAGATTTAATCATTCTCCAGACCTGCAGGCAGAACCCAGGTTTTCTGCTCATCAATACCCTGCCCTTTACAGGCACTGAAAGGGTGTGTCAAATTCTCCTTCACTAACATATCTAGAGTGCATTGTAAAGCATTTGAGTCACACTGTTTGTTAAGAGATGAAATACAAACTTTAGAAAAACGTGTGTCAGCAGTGCTGCTGCAAAGGACTGAGTTACTCTCTTGCTTAATGTGACAAACTGAATATTCAGAATGCCTCTGAACTTGTAAAATCAATTTTGTTTTGGTTGGCACAACTACAAGATGGGTGGGGGCTGACCCCATATAAGCTGATGACTTGAATTTGTCCAAAGAAGGAAAGCACATCTTATGGAAAACTGACTCAGGGAAAATGAAAGATGTAAGATTTTTGTAATTCTGAGCTTCCCTGGGGTTAATCAGGAAACCACATCCCATCAACAATCACTGAATTCTGAGCATACGTGACCTCTGGATACCTAATATATAAATTTGCGGACTGTCTTTGCAGTACCACGACCAGTGTTCTAGGTCATTCTTTGCCAGGAATTAGAACCATCATCACATAGTTTAAGAAGGCTCTCAGCACTAAATTATTCTTCCATACTTGAGGAATGGATTTTATCAGTAGAAACTGCAGTAAAGCCAAGAGAGAGTATACACGTGGAGAGTATTAATGCCTGATTTCTCCTGATTTAAGTATTCAAATGAAAATGGAAGTTTTTCTCTCTTCTTTATCTCTGCTTAAGGATTACTCTTTTTCTCTGGAAGGGTGCTTTTCAAAAGCATTGTTCAGTGCTTAAGTCAGGTACACTACTTTTGAACAGAGACTAGGTCAAACTTTTGCAACTGTGTGGTCTATTATGGTTTGGTTCTTACCATCACTCTCCCCACTCTCTTCAGATGTCATACAGTACGTTTATGCAATTTGATAAGGGAGAAAAACATTTGATTAGCAAAATCCTTTACCAAGTGTATTTGTTTTGGTTTAGGGTAAATTTGGGAAGAAACTTTTGAATGGAGTTTTTTTAGAAAGTGTGGTTTGTCTTTTTTTTAATTGGTTTGGAAAAAATATTTTTGGAGAAAAGTGGAAAAAATTGTTTATTTAATAAGTCAAGTATTTATAAGCATAAAAAAATGAATAATATTAAAAATAAAGTTTTTTGTTGTTTTGAAGAGATGGCAATTTTAGAAAGTTTTTGTTATGATGAGTAGCTTGGCTTATTTACTTTTTTATTATTTTTTGTCACTGGAATGTAGTGTCTTAGGCTTGGTGGGTTTTAGGTGTGAGTTTTTGGTGGTTTTTTTTTTTTTTTTTAAGTTTAGAGTACATTTGAACTGTTTTAAGGAAAAGAAAAAACTATAGTTTGGGGAATTTTTTTGCTTTAGCTAGATAAAAAATTTAATTAAAAGTAAAGGAGAACCTTTTTTTGCTGTTTGTCTGTACTGTAGACAACACAGTCTAGGAGAAGAATGTGGAGGAGTGAGTGTAGTTTTTGAAAACAAATTGTGCGGGTTTTTTTCTTTTTTGTTTGGAACTAGTATTAAAGGTGCACAACATAGTATCTAGTATAAATAGAACAGACAACTGGCAATACAAACATCATAAAGTCACCCTAGGACACCAAGTATACTCTCTTCCCTCTCCTACTACATTTCTCAAGGCAGGGTGATATGACATCAGGGATCACCATACACATGGGACCTCCCGAAAAACACAGTTTAACTTCTAGTAATCACAAAACCAAGGGTATGGTAGGCAGACTTTTTTATGAATGAAGAATACAACTGATTGTCTGAAGATCCAGTACCAATCTTAAGAAACTGATTCTTAAAATTCACAGTTTGAAAGTCTTGCATTGATGTACAGGTTATGCAATGATCATTCTTTTCACAGTAACTATGTCAAGTAGTGAACACAAAACCCACCAAAAACCTCAGCTTCCAGTTCTTAATTTGTGCCAGTGAGTGGAAAAAACTAAACTTACTTGCAGGAAATTTTTGTGCGATCCACCACCATGGTCCACTGTTGCTGATTTGTTGAAACCTCAATGTAGTAGCTATAGCTCCGATCATCACAGTCCCAAAGTAGCAACCTATGTATGAAGAAATTGTTGAGTGGTAAGTTAAACAAATATCAAAGCAACCTTTAAAATTTTCCAGCCCTTTATTTTCCCCACTTAATCCTTTCTAAATGTAACTGTTTCTTTTGGAATGTACCTCTAACAGTCAAAAAAGTCTTTACTGGTTTTGCCATCTCAAACTATGGTGTCTCTATTCTTATCCTCAGGCCAGTAATAGACTTACAGGCTTACAATAACCAACTTATGAACATTAATCAATTACATCAATCCAATTATTTTTAATCTATTTGCTACATGGCACCCCCTTCGTTAGACATAATACAAAGATCTGTTTCAGAAAGTCAGTATAGGAGAGGACAGAAAAAATAATTAGGTGGTTAAAAGGATTATGCTGGGAGGCATGGAGGGAAGGAAGGAGGGAAGGAAGGAAG